CCACCGCACTGCCACAAACCCACCCAGCGTGGTTACTTTTGGTGTATTAAACTAAACTGGTCCTGATCCAGATGAGTAGTTTCAGTGCCTCCGTCATCCTCCTGTCCACGTCACAGTAAATGTGTTTCTCTGAAAATATAACTGGGAATGAAGTTTGGTTGTATGGTGAGCACTGTGGAACCGAGTCTGTTAAAAGTTTCACCTCCTGTTTTACTGAAACAATCAGCAGTGATAATTCAGCAGCTGCCACAAATCTGTAGTTTTCTGTGAAATCAGCTCTTTCTCTGGTGCTGTTCAGACACTGTTGGGTCTTTGAGGGTTGAGTAATAAATCAAGAACAGATAATCTGCCTGGAAGCCCGTTTGCTGGAGTCATGTTTGCCATTTCTGGTTCCAGGACCATCAGTAACGTGTTAAAACAAGTCTGATCTCACTTCATCTCCTGAGGATGAATTCTTTAGATGTGAATGATGTCAGGACGTTTCCTCTGTAGCACCACCCTCATTTATATTTAGGTTCTTCCTGAAATGCAAACAAATTTTAAAATTTTCAGTTTTAATATTTAAAAAGTCTCCGGCTTCATTAAATCAATGCTCCATGTTTGGTTGCGTGCACCCGCTGACCTCAGGGTCATATGCGGCTTCGGTCCAATGCTGTGGACACGCCATCAGGGCGGCTTTACACCACCATTAACAGCATTTTTCTCCCAGTACATAGCCTGGGCCCATCAGCAAGGAGTCTGGACGTGGAGAAGCAAGCTGGCAGGCAACAGCGGCAGAACGCACAACGTCTTTCTGGATGTTGTGCCTGCTCAGAGGCACTGCAGCACCGAGGGACCTCAAACAACCTGTCAGAGAGCAGAGCAGTTTTTTTATCTTGAAAGTATTTTCACTTTGTTGCATTTCCACCTCTTCTTGTGTTAAACTGAAACTTTACACTCACGTTGGAGTAATCACAGAGCGGAGCCTCGTCATTTTCCTGGCAAGAAAAGGTGTGTTTTGCCAGTTGCGGCACATTTTTAAGGCCTTTGCTGAGACCACTGGACTGAAAAGTACATGGAAAATAAATGTGTGTAAAATGACACTAAAATATGAGCGCAGTTTTTCATTCAAGTTTGAATTACACCATTGAGTTTTCACTTCACGGGATGTGCGCTGGAACAGCGGCCTGATGGATGGTGCTCGTTTTCCCATCCGTCGGTTCATAAACACGATGGCCTCGCCGAGTGTCTGAAAGAAGAAAAACTGACTGCTACAGATAATCAGTAGATTGATCATTTCCTTTCTTTAATCTTTCCCACACAAAGGCTCATCTATCTGCTCTCATCAAGTCCATACTATACTTCATTAAAGATTAATAAAAGCAAAGATCAGCATATCAAGTACAAAAGCTGAGTGTTTGCAGCGTGTTTGTGTATCCACTGCTGCAGGAGCCGTCTCAGTTTCTTGCTATTTACGGCTGATCTGGACTTCCTGTTTCCTGCGTCCCCTTAGCCTCAACACAAAAGCTTCTCTGCACTGAGGAGGGAAAAAAACAACGCCTAACATGTGATGTTAAACGCAGGAACACTCGCTGTGAGTCATTCTCCTTCATAGGATCTCTTTTTGCACTGGCAGGACATTTTGTTTGTTTCACTCACTTATGTCTGACTCATGTTAAAATCACCAGAAACCCAAATTGATCTGAACATATGAAGAACTGAAAACCAGCAGCTGGCAGTGGGAGAGCTCCGAATCTGAGGTCGGTCCTGGTCTGTCCTGTTTCTGATTGTAGATCGTAATGCAGACATGAGGGTTTGTTTTTTGTTTTTGTTTTTGTTTTGTTTTTTGTTTTTTGTTTTTTTGGGGGGGGGGGGTTCTGCACGTGCAGCAAAGCAGCATCAACTTTACGTAAAGATGGGCGTAGCCAATCGATGCTGCATTCTGTGTAAAGTTCAGCAGGGGGCGACTCCTCTCACAAGTCTATGAGAAGATGAGCCTCCTGCTTATCTGATCTTTGAGCTCAAAAACACTTTGGTCAATCAATAATTTCAGGGTGGTGACGGGGCGGAGCCTATTGCAAAGACAAAGTAGACTCTGGACACGCTGGCGGTCCATCACATTCACACCTGCAGCCAATTTACAATCATCAGCGAGGCAAACAGAGAAACAGACAGCTGGTCAGTGAGTTCAAGCCTTCTTCCTGCCAGCTGTGGATTCAGTGAAGTTAATTTTGGAAGTGAAAGTCACATTAGACTCAAACACCAAGGGAGGATTTAGGCCTTGAGACTGACAGGTTGTAACCGTATGCAGTGTCAGATCCACAGTGGCTAAAACACCCAGCCTGAAGCTTCACGAGCGAACTTCATGAACCAACAGGAGGCTTCATAGCAGCCATGTACAGTTTTTGGTTGCAGCTTATCCTCAGCTGATGGTGAAGCAGAACTTTTAGTTTTTACTACCTACAAACCCGCACAGACCTAAAGGTCTCACTCTCTTTCTACTCCAACAAAGTCAGGAGCCATTTTCCCTGAATTTCTTTGTGTCTTTGTGGCCGTTGGAAAGTGTGTACAGTGCATTTTGGCTTCCATCACAGTGAACGCTGAACATAAAGTAAAATTACGTTTGTAAAACGTAAAATCAAAAGTTGAAAAGCTCAGCTGTAAACATGGGGGTGGGGTCTGCGTGTCTCGTCATGAGTACCAGATAAAGAAACTGTTGAACCTGCGTTTGGTGAACAGGTGGCATTCCTCCAAACGGACTCAGAGGAGATTCAATCTGCACTTTAATCAGATTCTTTTCAATGCACATCTGATGAATTCCTCCAATATGGCAGCCGTGCGCCTGCCTGAGGAGGGGGTGAGGGTGTGTGTGGTGGGGGGTGGGGTGTCAGAGGGATCTTTGTTTTGGAAGAATGTGAGGGGTTGCCCGTGGCGGGGCGTCCTGTGAGCCGGCAGATGGCCGATGGGATGAGCAGACAAAAGTCTCCGGCAGACTTTTCTCCTTTCAGAGCTTCTCGTCTGAAGAGCAAGACACAAAACAGCACCGGCTGGAGGGGGAGGTGGGAGGAGGGAGTGATGGGTGAAGGCCCACCATCATCATACGTGGGTGTCATGAAGTCATTCCTCTGAAATATTCCGTGTCCTAAACTCTGTCAGTGTCCTCAACCAGAAAACATCTTCAGTCCTTTTTTATATGCTTTAAAATGAGCCATGAATGATCTTTCTGAATCTGGGATGCTGGATGTCTCTGAGAAGACTTTATAGTCGCTCCTCCTCTGCGTTGGAGGGCGTTTTATGCTTTAACCCACGTGGATGGCTGAAGGTTCACTTTAGCTTCACATAAACATGAACTTATTGTGATTTTTAAATGAAATGCACATAACTTAGATCCTAAACAGTGACTTTGTTTCCTCATAGCGTGCCATTGGGTTTAAGGTTAGCAAAGATGCTCAGACCTCAGTGTGTGGATGGATTAGCTAAAGTTTCCCTTAATGAATCGTTTCAGATTAAAAGAAACGTTTTAAAGGACAGAAGCCGTGCTGAGCACAAACATTAGTCCTCTGAAGATTCATGTGCTGTGAGATGCAGTACCTTTAAGAATTGGAGGTTGAAGGCCGGATTGATCCGATTTTTCTGATCTGATCGGGTCTTGACCTCCTCAGACACAATCCAGGGAGCACCGAAGGACGGAGTGTTTGCTCATGAAGCTCCAGGACACTGACACCTGGTGGGAGGTTCCTTAAATCCTTTCATCTCTCTCTAATTAAACTTCTCTCGCCCCTCTTCATCTGTCAGCTGTTGAGGTTTCTCTTCACCACTTTCCGTCTCGGTTCAGTGGATAAAGGTCAAAGGTCAGCGATGCGTTTGGGAGCCAGCAATGCGTTGTGTTGCCATCTTCTCTCCTCTCTCCTCCCCCGTCCTTCCTCCGCAGCACTGACCTGTGGGACAGGATGGGTGTCGTCCTGCCCGAGCTAGCTGTCTGTACGCACTGAAAATCAAGTCCACCGTGACCTTTGACCCTTCCCGTGCTCACTCAGGAAATGAGTCCAGGGAAGTCTTTATCGCACTGCAGAAGACGATTAATGATTTCGTCTTTTCTGAGGGTTTTTAGACACTGCTGACGGGTGCAGCTGCAGTGGAAATCAGAGCAAACACGACAGGAAAAATGAATCTTGGAATAATAATTAATAATAATCTCAAACAGAAAAAGCTTTCCTCTGCTCACAGATGTTAGTAGCTCATTGCTGCCTCACTGCACATGGTCCGGCTGTTAGATCCCAGAGTAAACTGTTGGCTCGTTTCATTCACACAGTGTTTTTGTCATGCAGACTGAAGCGATGCATCTCTGGGCAGTTTGGGGATCATGCTCACGTGATGAGTCGTTCTGTTGAGTGGGCAGAGGCATACTCTCCTGTGGAAAACAGTCTTTTTCACATGTTTGGAAATATAAACATCACACTTTGATTCTCTGGTTGGTTTTTGTACAACGGGCTTTGATCTACTTTTGCTGTGAGTTAACACAAAGATCTCAGCTGCTCACCAATCAAACATGACTTGTGTAATGATTTTTCTATGTGTTGCGTCTGTGGGTCTGAGTATCGTTGGAGCTGAGGGGGAAGGTGATGGTCATATTAATCAGTAAGGACTGTAATTGTCACTGGCATCCCTTCGGTTTGTTGTCCCGCTGTGGGAATGTGCGGCCAGATCTCTGGGATCACGCTGATGGTCTTAAAATTGCTCCTCTGTGATGACCTCAGCCTGCTGCTCGGTTACAAAAAAAAATGTCACGGAGAAAACAGAGAGAAAACGTGGAGAAAATTGGTCAGCATTCCTGAAAACCAAAATAAACAGAGGACGGAGCGAGGTCTGGTTTTCAGGAAGAAAAAAACTCAAGCGGAGACGTCATGGAAGGGGAGGAAGGGAAGGGGTGCGGTGGGGGAGTCGTACAAAAGGAAAGTCTGTGTGCTGACCGGGCCCCTCCCTCTCTCTGTTCTCCTCCAACAGATGAGCCAGCACGAAGAAAGAGGGTGATCCACATAGACTAACACAGAGGGGGAGGGAGAGCGCGAGAGCAGCCGGAGCAGAGAGCTTCATTAGAGACGAGAGAGAGGAGGCAGCAGGACGGAGGATGAAGACGCTGCCGAGGGTCTGAAACACAAACAGGTAAAAAAAAACTTTATTCATTTATAAAAAAAACTTTGTTTCAGAAATCTGTCCTCTGAGTTTAAACCATCTAAACTTAGAGTCGTTAGATTAGTTCCTTTAAAGGTTTACAAGAAATGTCACATTTAGATCTCTCCTCTTCACTTTCAGTGAAAATTGATTTTTCTGATTGTCCGACAGTCAAAGCTCTGCTGAGCAGTTTCATTAGTCTTCTGAGTCTCACATTAAAACTCCAATTAGTCCTGCTTTTTTCTGCATTTTTGTTTGAGCAGCAGAGCAGTGTGAGCAAAGCTGTTTGCAAGAAAATATCAGAAAATTAAAGGTTTAAAAGTTGTGAATGAATGTGTGAAAATGAATAGTGGGTTGCACAGAATAAAGAAGAAAACATATGTGAAGCACATCAGCAGTGATGGTGTCAGAGCAGCAGGTGGTACTGTGCGCTGTGCAGACTCGGTTCAGGGTTAAGGGTCATGCTGCAGGCTCAGGTCACTTCACTCAGAGAACGTGTAAAAATGGTTTGGCACACAGCAAATATAAGCATGATGGTCCAAACTTAGTTTTCTTGGTTCACCTGAAGGCAGCTATTAGGTTAGCTGTGTGCTAAATGTCCGTGATGAAGCTCCATCGTATGTTTGGTGTTCAGTCAGATCACAGTTTTAAAGGTCTTTGAGGGTGATAAAGGAACCGGTCATGTGACTTAACATCAGCAAACAGCAGTGAGTATACATCCAGCTGGTTTACTGAAGGTCTTCAGGATGTCGCATTGATTGAGAAACTGTGCAGAGATCATTTCTGTGTGTGTGTTTGAGCAATCGTCGTCTTCTGATGGTTTGAAATTTGCATTTTAAAGCCTCAACACTTGTTTGTAGAGCTGGTTTGACCGTATTTAGATGAGCTCCGTTATCGGCTCATGCTAATACAGCGAGCTGTCCACAGGCTTTTAGCATGGGAGGGCACTGACTCATGGCTGAAGCCGGCCTCAAGTGGCCACCAGAGGAACTGCAGCTGGACGGCTGTCTTACAAATATCATCTGCAAATCTACCAGAAAATAAATATGTGACATCTGGGTAATATTGCTGTGATAAGGAAGAAGGAAGTTTAGATGCTTCGATTATTTTGTGTGTTTGAGAATGGACTGCAGTAAATGAGTGAATGTTTAATGTGTGTCCACAAACGTGGGGTCACTGAGTCTTTAACTCATCTTTGGCTTTCAGTGGGACTGATTATAATACTGCCCATAGTATTTGATGTAGTATTTTAGTACTGACTGTAGTATTTAATGTAGTATTGTGTGTAGAAATCTTTGTTGCTTTAATACATGCTGTGTGTGTGTGTGTGTCTATGTGTGTGTGTTTCCTTGCTGTTGTGTCACTCGTTTTTGTCTGATGATGTCATCGTCCTCCATTCTCTTCCAGGTCATCATGGGAAACGCGGACAGCCACAGCAGCTTTGTCTCTCCTGCCAAGCCCTCCTGCTCCTTCAGGTTTTCCTCCAGGAGGGAGGAGGTGACATCAGCTCGCAGCTGGTGGAGGAGCAGCCAGGGAGGCTGCAGGAGCCGAGGGAAAAGCTACCTGAACCACCCAATGGCCAGCTCACCCTACACCTCATGGCGTTACGAACCAGCCCCTAAAGCGGCCCGAGGAGGCGCCAAGCTGAGAGGAGGGTCTCCCCAGAGGCTCTGCATGGGGGAGCGTGGTCAGTTTGGGGGGGGTGAGCGGGCGTCTCTGGAAAGCAGCGGCAGCCCGAAGGTGCTGCTCAGCAAAGATGGCAGCATGAGGGTGGAGTTCACCAAAGCTCGGGTGGAGCCAGAGAGTCTGAGTGGGCTCCCCGCCATCACTACCGCAGCGACCACCACCACGGGCGCAGAGGTGTCACTGCGCACCAGCAACGGCAGCTCGCTCAGCTCCGATGGCTCTTGGTACGACTCGCCGTGGGGGAACAGCGAGCTGACGGATAACGTGTTTGTGTGCAGGCAGAACGCGGACAACAGCAGCGGCTACACCACTGCCACCAGCAGCAGCGGCTACAACACCTTCTTCTCCGCTCAGGGTGAGGACATCTCACCTGGATTTAGCTCCAGCCTCCTCTTCCCCACCACAGAGACTAATGTGTTCGCCGCCGCAACTGCAGGTTACAACACCTGCTCCTCTGGCCGGACGGAGGACAGCGGCATTGGAGACTCGGAGCTCCTGCAGCCGGACCTCACGGATTTCAGCCTGATTTCAGCTCCTGGGGTTTACAGCAGTCACAACACGCTGCCCGCCTTCCCCACCGACGCTGGGACCCCCGCCGGGGAGGCAGCGCTGCTGGATGATGTCACACAGAAAGAGGAGGGATCAGCCGGTGATATGGAGGAGCATTACTCTTCCTGCACGCTGCCCTGCCGAAATGTGGAGTCTGCGAGCGCCGCCTCTGCCAGGAATAACCGAAAAGACTTCCTGAAGAGCAGAATCAGACGTCTGAGCGACTGGACAGGAAGTCTGAGCAGGAAGAAGAGGAGGATCCAGGTGAGAAACAATAAGATGATGAAGTCATGCTGTGGGCGGAGCTCAGTGGTTCGCCACCTGCTGATGATGGACAAAATGACATCATTTTTTGTTTTCTGACTTTTTACATTTAAGAATGTTGATTTTCAACATGAACTGACATCCCTGATAAAAGTGCACAAAATCATAATATTTTTTTTAAATCTTTGAATTCTAGTGTTTGACAAAGTAGAGGTATATGTTTTTATCACTTGAACATAATCAGCCTGTAAACAAAAAGAAAGAAAGAAAGAAAGAAAGAAAGAAAGAAAGAAAGAAAGAAAGAAAGAACAAACAAGGTCAATAAACATCATCAGAACATCTTAAAATGTCTTCAAAGTAAACTCAGTCTAAAAAAAACCTTTAAAAGTTTTTATAAACTCATTAGTAGATAATTTTTTAAATATATTCTGAGAAACTTAAAACTGGTTTTAAAATTAATATCTTCCTTAATCCTCAGCCCGGCTTCCTGTTTACAGCCAGCAGAATGAGGTCACATCCTGTCTGCAGTGAGGGAGCTGGAGTAGTGAAGCTTGTTGTTCGTGCTTTTTAACTCAGTGCTGATGATGACGGGGATAATGAAATCAGACGCTGATGTAGTTTCCTCACACTGGAAACCCCAAACACCCCACCCCCCACAACCTGGGTAACCCCCTTACATCAGCGTGACCTCATGAGGACTCGTTTTCCCACACTTGAGTTCCTCCAGATGCACGTCAAACATGAAAGGACTGACGAGTAAACTTTTATTATCTGCTCTCTTCATTGTCTTTGTTTCGTCTGCAAGGTTTTTAAGATGTTTAACCCAAAAAGCTTTCTTTGCACCGCGTGAATGTTTCACTGGAGTGCCGCAGTCTGTGTGCCGGATTATTAATTACAATCAGAGAACTTTATTAATCCCAGAGGAACAAAACAGAAACCCTTTGAAAGCATCAGTCTAGCTTAAATCCTCTGCAGCTTTGTGTCACAGTCACAGGAGAATCCATCTTTGCTCTCTGAGATTGATGTCCTAGTGATACATCACAGTCGACTTTTTATTGTTCAGTCTTTCCGGGGCTTTGATCCTGCTCATCAAAAACAAATCGCAGTGCTGGAGGAACTTTGATCTCTTGGAAAATTCCTGGAGCTTTTCATGGGAAAGCACCAAAACAAAAACATTACATAGTGACACTGGAGAAAGAAATGTTTGGGAACCTGGAACCAGACCGATCTGAGGGCTTACGTTTCATTTACCCCTTGTTTAGATTTCCATGAGGGCTTGGCTCTGTTCGGCTAATCACAGCACTGTGTTTGATACGGGGGAGTTTGATACAGTGATTGCATGGACAAGCACTTCAGTAAACATCCAGGATCCTTTAAGTGCACTATTATCTCAGGAATAAAAGACCTGCGTGGTAGATTTTCTCTAAAGAACAAACAGCTTAACGCCTTGACTGATAAGAACAGTGCATTTCTGTACCAACTCACTCTGCCTGTCTATAAACAGCAAGTTTCCACATGTCGTCACTGTCACCTCACATCAAACCCGCGCCCTCTAAAACCAGCAGGTTGTCTTATTGGCTGAAGAGCAGTGATGGATTGTTTGTTTAACGCTGACACTGCAGCATGAAGCATATTCACACCCCGTTAATGCTAACAGAGGGGAAAATTGTGGTTTGGAATAATACTGCCTGGTGCTGAGCGCTGTGTTGGAGGGCTGCTGTGTGCCTCTAGTGGCCGCAAAGGAATCACAGCAGTCAAATAAAGTCCTCTCTGATTTCTCTGCAGGAGCCGTTCACCACCGACACAGCCGATGTCTTCATCAATGGACTGAATGCTGGGGCTGTTAGCTGCAGCACGCTGTGTTCCTCCGACCCTCTTCACTCCCTGAACCCCAACCAGTTCCCAACGCTCCACTGCGGCTCCTCCAGGAGTCTGAACCAGAACAGTGATGCTCAGCGGCAGAACATCTATGAGAACTTCATGCAGGAGCTGGAGATGGGTTGCAGCAGTACGGCTGACAGGACGGAGCCATCAGAGGGGGACGGAGACGAGGGTGAGGAGGACGAGGAAGAGATAGATGGGGATGTGGAGGTGGGAGGAGGGGAGCAGCTGGACGTCCTGTTTGAGAAGGAGCAGGGTGTGGTGCGGCGGGCCGGATGGCTCTCTTTCAAACCTCTCATCACTGTTAACAAGGACAGAAAGCTGGAGCTGGTCACCCGCCGCAAGTGGAGGCACTACTGGGTCACACTGAAAGGTACGGCTGCCTGCAAGGACCAAAAAACAGAAAGATGAGTTCAAGTTTCAGGATTAGATCTGATCTTATTTTCAGTGAAGGGCAGAAAACTTGCGTAGGAGAAGTCTGGTGATGCCTTTAGTGCCTCTGCTAGAGCTGAAATCAGGCTTATGCTGCATACAAGGCAGCAAAAGAGTCTTTGTGCACCTGAGGCACAGTGTGAGTTTCCAGGTTCCTCAGTGTCACTTTCAGGTTACACTAACCAGTCTGGATGTTTCCAGTTAGGCAGTGGGAAGGTTCAGCATGTTTCAGGAAATACTGACAAGTAGTTTTTGAGTTGACTGTTAACCGACCAACAAACATTTATCACTTCTGCTCTCAGCACAGAGAAGGTTAGGACTTCTTCTTAAACCAGAGGAGTCGCCCCCTGCTGGGCATCAGAGAGAATGAAGGTTTAGGCACTTCTAAATGAAACTTGATAAAAAATGTAAAAAAAAAAAAAAAAAAAAGAGTGTTCTGTTTCATGTTAAACATTTTACTCAAGTCTTTACCATCTGTGGCATCAACAGCTAAAATTTAGAAATCTCTGTGAACTAAACTATTTAACATAGAATTAACGATGGATTTTGTCTGTTCAGGTTGCACTCTGCTGTTTTACGAGACATACGGGAGGAGCAGCGGCAGCGCCGACCAGGAGCTTTCTCCTCGCTACGCTCTCCTGGCTGATGACAGCATCGTCCAGGCCGTCCCTGAGCACCCAAGGAAGGAGCATGTCTTCTGTCTGAGCAACTCGTATGGAGACGTGTACCTGTTCCAGGTGAGGGAACCGCCAGCACACTGAGAAACATGATTTTACTGGAGTATCTTTGAATGCAGCACCAGCATAAGCAGCTGTGGTGTTGGGACATTTCTGAGGTTTTCTCTTCATTCTTTCATTCTGTGATCGCTTTCCTCCAACTGCTGCCTCCATTTTTTTTCCCATCGCTGTGGCTCATTTGTGAGCAGCGTGAATGAACGGGGTGTGGCGTCACACCAGCTTTTGGTTTTCTCACCACAAACATCCACACTGTGGGACTTTCTCTGCGTGTCTTTCTGTTGGTAATGACTGTGAGCATTTCCCCCTCTTATGTCAGCTCCACACCACCCACACCGAGGAGGAAGCAGACAAACAAAGGGTAGATTTTACTTTTACTCCGACAAAGAAGAGGAGGCACAGATGTGTCGAGGCCCCGGATGAACTCCTGACGTTCCTTCAAGTTGATCTTGAATGACACGAGCAGCAAAAGTCTGGATGTCAGAGTTCAGCGGGGATAAAAAGAGAGGCAGATTATTACCTGTACTCTCGTTGGTAAAGGTGATGTCATCATGTAATTTAATAATTTATTTCTGTGATCACCTCCTCAAACTTTTAGGAGCTCCTCTTGATTCCCAGAGTCACTCTGACTAATGCAGCAGAGTTTGCAGACACGCAAATCACCCTCCTCCCAGAGGAGGAGGTGGAGGTTTTGTCAAGGGCTGAAAGCAGCTGAAGATGAAGAGCGGAGAAGGCTGAAAGCCTGCTAATGGGAATCACGACACCCAGCTAATTGCTGCAACAAATGTTCCTCTTTACGATGATGACCTGATGAAGAGCGAGCTTTAAACCCTGCCACACGTCCCCTCGTAAACAAAAACAGCTGTTAACATCAGGACATTAAGTCTGTTGCTTAAACGCAGACACCAGACCATCAGAGGATGACTGAGTGTTGCTTCCTGCTTTCAGCAGCAAATTTACATTTAAAAGTTTCTGTTTTTAAGGTTTTTGTTGTTAAAACAAAGTGCAATCAGCAGCTGAATATTCACAGTTAATAAAGCAGGAGGCTCAAAGTTTAATACTGTTCTGTTGCTTAAAATCTGTCTGACTCCATCTTGTCTCGTCCTCCAGGCCACCAGCCAGACTGACCTGGAGAACTGGGTGACGGCAATGCACTCGGCGAGTGCCTCTCTGCTGGTGAAGCGTCAGAGGAAGGAGGACACACTGCGCCTCCTGCGCTCTCAGAGCCGCTCACTGCTCCACAAGATTGACATGGATGGGAAGATGAAGAAGATGGCTGAGCTGCAGCTGTCCATCATCAAGGAGCCCAAGAGCAGGAAGGCGGTGGAGAGCCAGGTGAGTGCGGGGAGAAGTGGTCCAGTCAGGGCAGACAGCATGTTAGTATTATCACCTACGCCGGTCCTGAATATGGGCAATGCTTTAGAATGACCCTCACAGCCATCTTTGAGTGAAGCACACATGAACATCAGACCAGACTCTCGCCCTGTTGTGGTGTCACAGATTAGCTTCAGGCTGTTTTGTGGGTTTCTTTGTTCTTGTTGTTAATTTCCAGTGACAGCGATGTGCAGACAGAGAACGTATCATTTAGCAGCCTGCTAATCTTTCCTCTGAACTGTGAAACTGATCCCAGCGCTGCAGTTTGAACTCTGAGATTAGAGGCTAATCTTCCTGCTCAACATTCAATTACACATTTACTGAGAGGGAGGGGAGGGCAAACAGAGGAGGAGAAGGAGAGCCTCGATTTATTGGAGAGAGTCCAGCAAGAGAAGAGGAAGGAGGGGAGGAGAGGAGATGAAAGGGAGGACAGGATGGAGGGATGAGGGATAATGGGTGATAATCACAGAGTAAGGGACAAAATAACTTCATCACAACAGAGACTGAAGCAGGAATTGACAGCAGCAGCAGTCTGCCCCACCCAGGAAATACACTTTACCAGATGAGTGAATGGAGAAAAGATGGCTTCTCTCAGCGCCTGGCCATGACTCACTGACCATGTTTCATGGTTTTCATGGCCGTCTGATGAGTTATTATCATTTTTTTTATACAGAAGCTGTGTTTATGTGTGACCCTGTGTGTGCTCAGATCCAGCAGTGGGAGCAGAATCTGGAGAAACTGAACCTGGATCTGTTCAGGCTCAGGTGCTACCTGTCCAGCCTGCAGGGCAGCGAGCTCCCAAACCCAAAGAGCCTCCTCGCCGTGGCCAGCAGGCCCTCCAAAAGCATGCTGGGACGCCTGGGAGTCTTCTCCGTGTCCTCCTTCCATGCTCTGGTAAGTAGAGGTCCGACGCTTCCCTTTTTTAAAAAAAAAAAAAAGAAAGGAAGAAGGAAATTAAACCAGACAGTAAATCTGCCTCTCTGGACTCTCACAGGTGTGCAGCCGAGAAGAGGCCACACTGAGGCGGCGCTGCCGGTCTCTTTCGGGAGGAAACCGGAGGAGGGGTCTGCCGTCCTCCCTGAAGGTCCTGGATGATCTCAACAGGCGCGGCAGGGGTGGCAAACACTCGGATCACCAGGTATTACACTGCACCCTTCTCTTGTCCAGTTCAGCGCTGTAGTATGGTGAGAGGCAGCGTGCACCCTTCTGAAAATAGTTTGAAAGGTGAAATATTCACATGGAGTCAGAGACAGGTTTAAGAAATGTCCTACTCTGAAGTCTTTTCACGTGGACGACTAAAACCAGCTCGTCTGATTCAGGCTGAACTCGTCGTTCCTCTCTGCTCTCTAAAAACAGCCCAGAAGAAGCGTGCTGTCATCTGTCGTTACGAGGCTAAGTTTAGCCTCTCCTCAGTGCATCATCCAGCTGCAGTTCCCATCATGCCCGGCTCCTGACGGTCCCCTCGTGATAAACAGTGGGTTATTTTTGGCCTCTGAGGGTCCGGAGGATAAATCTGTCAGCGCCACTTTGCTTTGGCTTGGATTCTCGCAATTCAACTGAGCCGATACACGCTCAGTGGAAAAACTGCCTCATAGTCTCATAGCTGCAGCATCTGCAGGATCGCAGCACGTTACCTGCTCCCTCCTGCCCTTGAGCAAGGAACTGCGCAGGATGCTTCCAAGCAGTAACTCCCGCTCTAAGCCAAACATCTGTGGATACCTTGGTGAGGGGAATTCTAGCCACATGCTGCCTTTGTTCGACTGAGAGTCCTGCTTCGAGCTGAATGCCTAATCAGTCAGCTGTTTATTTCATCTTACACAAAACTGACCAATCAGAGAGCTCAGGGGGCTTTTTGTATACTGTCCTGCTCTTGAAAGTCAGAATGATTTATTTCCAGCAACTTTTTATTACCATAATTCATTTTTCTTCGAAATATAATGAATGTAGGGCGTAATAAAGCCTTCTGAGCTGCTGCACCTCTACTTGTTGTGTGTTGAAGCCCAGCAGACGGTAACACAGAAAGGTCTTTCTGTGGTCAGAGACGTCTTCAGGCTTGAGGGAGGTGTTCGTAGTCAAGCCTGTGGCAGCTTGTTCTTTGTGCTGAGCACTTGTGGTCAGACAGACCTGCAGCATGTTTGTGTGCAGCTGGATCTCCATTCCAGTTCTGCTTTCAGATCAGATCTGATGCTGCAGGCTGTGGTTTCCGGGCGGAGCAGCTCCACTAGAGGACATGTGGAGCTGATTGCTGCTCGCTGTGTCGACTCTGCAGGAGATATACACTTACCGGAACTCGCCGCCTCCACTTCACTGCCATGTTGGGGGGTGGGGGTCATTACTGTAAAATCCTTGATTCCTTCCAGAAAACAGAAGTTTTTGTACTGACGAGTGTTTCCTGTGTCCAACCGTCGACTCAGACCACACTCACGACTGCTGTGGATGTTTTAAGGTGGTGTCGAGGAAAGGCATGTGAGTCCATGATGATGATGATGCCAATGTGTTCAGTGTCAGTCGGTGGTCCCAGACTCCAGGCAGGCTGATGGCGGCTTCACAAACCTGTAATTTCAGCACAGCTCAACCTGCTCATTTTTTCCCATGATTCCCTGGGGCTAATTTAGGTTTTGATGCAGGACAGAAATAAACATCCCAAGTCTTTTATCATTTTTAATTACGTTTAAATATAGGGGGGAGTATTTTTAGTTGGTCTTTAGTCATGACTGTGTATGTGTGTGTGTGTTTGTTTGACTACAGCAGTACATTATGTGGACTTTGTAGAAAGCAGCTCACTGGTTAAAGATCATGACGTGTACAGAAGTCGCGTCGCTCCTTTGAAGCACCGTCAGGAAACACTCGGGTGGATGTGAGCGACTCTGAAGCAGGAGTCACTGATCTTTTGCTGATTAAGCAAATATGAAACAGGTTATCGCTCAGAGAAAACGACTCAATCCGGAAAAGCTGGAAGATGATGTGACACTGATACTTGTGTTCAAAATTGTCACCCATCAAACTCGCCGAGGAGGAAAAGGAGGAGGAGGTGGGAGAAAGAGGAGGAGGACAGTTTGTTTAACTGCACAGCTTTTTGAGGGCAACCTTCTGAAGAGGAGGAGGTGGGAGAAAGAGGAGGAGGACAGTTTGTTTAACTGCACAGCTTTTTGAGGGCAACCTTCTGAAGAGGAGGAGGTGGGAGGAGGAGAAGGAAGAGGAGGAGGTGATTGAGAATTAAAAGCTTCCAGGCTGTTTTATTCTGCCAGGATTTCTTTGTTCCTGAGAGTTAATCCTTCACAGGAGGCAGGAGATGACTCCCACACCTCCTCTCCACATGACCTCCCCACCAAACCCCACCTCCTGTTGTCACATGAGCTCCACCTTCTTTCTTCTGCTCCCCTTTTAACCTCCTTCACCCCCCTGTGTCTCCTCTGTATCCCACTGTTCCTCTTTACCCTTTTGTCTCCATATTTCATCTCCTGTGATCTTTTCAGCCAATCAGAGCTCCGGATTCTTCACAGGCTTTCCTTATTTTCCAGTCCACCTCGTCGCTTTAAATCCTGTGGAGAAAGTCTGAATTTTAAGAATCCCCTGCCTATTAGTTTAATGATTTTATAGTTTTCTGCCTTTAAAGCTTCAGTTTATTTGTTTTTATCAAATGCATTGATGATTTTACTGATCAGATCTTATAGAAGCTAATTGGTTATAATAACTGAAGGTAAACCTCGTAGGTCGTTCAGTCCTTTAAAACCTGTGCTGATGAGTTAAAAGTTTAATTTAAAGTAAAATTCTTCCTCTGTGTTTCTTCTGCAGAATGTGGACTGCGCTCCCAAACAGATGGTGGCAGCGCCCCCTGCCGGTCATAGTGCAGATCTGCAGGTGTGTTCACTGACTTACCTACAACTTCTCTTTAATTTTTCTTCTGCGGGCAGAACTCCTAACAGATATTATTTTGTATGTTATTTGGATGACTGCAGACTGAAATACGATGATAATTACTGGATTTGTATTCACATGATTCCTGCGAGGTCATTCTCCCGGTTCACTCTCCTGTGTGCGTTTTCAGTTGCGTGATGAGCAGCAGCTTCCAGCTGTTGGTGTTTTTACTCTGAACATCTGTCGACCTGACGGCCACAAAGACTTCGGTGAGAAAGAAAAACTCATCACTGAATAAATAAAATTCGTATAAAAACATGACTGGTTTGTGTTCTGAGAGGATAAATAATAAGCATATTCACCTGTGTGTGATGCGCTTCTTCTTCTGTGAATCTGCAGGTTTTGCGGTGACGGGTCACGTGGACGGAGCGGGAAAAAGTCATGTCTTCGTCAGCGAGGTGGACCCGCTGGGACTTTCATCCAGAGACGGTAAAACAGAGAACGGTTTCAGGTTTTATTTTGAGGGAGACCCTGCGTTTCTGACAGGTTGAGGTTTTGAAGATGTCCAGCAGGGGGCGCTCGAGGCTCCGCTATCAGGCTGTCATCTGTGCAGCGCTACACCTCCAGAATGGGAAAAACCCTGTCTGTGTTTAGGATTTAAAAAAAATTTGAAGCTTTAACAAACTTTAAAAGATGGAGTTTAATTTTTTTGTTTCCAATCAGGCCTCAGGGCCGGAGACGAGGTCCTGGCTGTTAACGGCGCTCCTGTGTCTGGACTGGACCTGGACCTCCTGCAGAGTCTCTTCAGACATCAGAAGCTGCAGCTGCTGCTGAGGAGGGATGAGTCACTTGAGGCCGAAGAGCCTGCCGACCTCTGGCCCGACCACGCTGACCCCTTCCACCCCGGCCGCCAACCACCGGCCACGAACATCCACACCTGGATCACAGGTACAGCAGAGACGCTCTGGTAACAGCATCATAATGTTCAAACACATTTCACATTTATATCAAACCGATTTCCAGTTTTAAATATAAACTCAACCATTTTAGTCACAGCTGTTTTATTGATCAGATTCATTTACAGAAACCAGAATCAAAGGCTTTTATTGTAAAGGCCAGTTAAAGCAGCAGGAGTTCTCCTGTAAAGATCACAGATCACATTTCTTCTTCATCTCACAGATTCCTCTGTCATCACAGATGCAGACAGCGTCCTGCCTCCCGTTTTCGATGACACTTCTGCGAGGATACCTCAGGACACCAAGCCCTCAGAGGAGGTGAGCTTCAGTCTGTGACAGTCTGAGAACATCTGGATTTTATTTAAATGGTTGTATGTTATTTATGACCAAGCCGCTTGTGTTTTGCTTTGATCGCCGATAACCCCGTCATATGAAATCAAGAAGTCTTATGAGGATGTGATTGGTTTCCAAAGAAGGCAGCTCAGACTTACCTGCAGAAATCCTCCTGTGCCTCCTGGAGCTCCACCCCCCACCTCTGTGCACATGACCTTTGGTCAACCTGATAATCCAGCTTACACAGTCAGGAGTGTTTGTAAAGTCAGAGCTGAGGGATTACCGTTTTTCCCTGGAGAAACACAACTTGTAGGTGTTGTTTGTGACCGCCTCTTCATTTCTGACGACGGCGGCAGGAGTATCAGGTGACCTCCGACCCCAACTGATCCTCTTCGTCGTTGTTTCACTCCTTCGTCATGGGTGCTCTGTGCTGGGTACTGCCGATGGAGGAGGACTGGGAGACTCTGGAGGAAGAGGAGGAGGATGGAGGGGAAGTGTTCCCCGGGGTGGGGCTCCTGGAGCGGCTGCTGAGGCTCCTGGACAAGGTGGCAAGCTGCCTGGGCTGTTGGCGTCCCGCTGACGGCGTCGTCCTGCTGGTAAATGGGCTGCTGGTTGGTGTAGAGCTGAAACTTGGTGTAGAGGAAATGATCACAAGTGTTTTCTGTGCTTTAGATTTTCTCAGTGTGAGACGGTTGTATATGCCACTATCACAGCGTTACGTGTACAGACACCCACGGGACTATGTTGTACCTGCTCAGACAGAAAGTAGGACAATAGGAACAAGTCACCACCTGAGAGAATGTCAGCACAGGACAGTAATCCCAGCCTCAGATGTCCCAGGGCGGCTCAGAGTCAAACAGCTGCTCCTTCGTGAAACAGTTTAGATACCTTAGGACTGACGAGGATCCTCCTGGAGGAGCGGGAAACCTCTTGTTGAAACATCAAGACCCTGAAACACACAAATATTTGAGACTAATATTCCAATTAGTGAGATAAAATCAAATACAATCACCCTGAAAAAGCAGCGATAATTAATTGATTTAAAAATTAAGATAAAAACAAGTCCTGGAGCTCAAAAGTGAAGCTGTTAAAAGGTTCTTCTGTTTACACAGCATCTTTTGATTCTTCATGAACTAATTGATTGTTTGCGTTAATAAAACTGTCACGCTGTGATCGCGCTAACCTAAAGATCTTCATCTTCAGTGTTTTTGGAGTCAAAGTTTCAATCCTGCACTCTCGACCATCCAAAGACTCGTTGGTTTCTTTCAACTCGACTCCAAACAAGCACCAGTTGCTGCTGTTTAGGCCTTTGATGCACTTTTGTGCACATTAATATCCAGTGTTTGATCATCTTCCAGTTTGTTATCTGCTCTGCTGAAACCTGGAGGTGGGTCTTTAGTTCTTCATCGAAACTGCTCCTCACCTCCTTGAACAGTTGAATTGAACATGTCTGGGCAGTCTTTTCCCCACATGTTCAGATCTCAGGGCGCTCCTCCTTCCTTGATTTTAAAGTGCAGCGAAGCTTCCTCACCACTTATCAAAAGCTCTGCAGCTTCAGGGTGAGCGCATTGGAGCTCAGAATTCATCAGGCTGTCGGCGCTGCGTTAGAGGCCGGCAGCCCAGATTATGATGACGGATGAGGCAGCCAGTTGGTTAGCAGCTTGTCCTCAGTCAGGGTTATAGCAGCAGCAGCGGCGCTGAGACTGGGAACAGGTTTGTGTTTGTCTGTCTGGATTTTGGTGTTTGTGTGTTTAACCTCATCTCTGGCTCAGCGGCTTCCCAGACCTCCCCAAAATCCAGCAGAGAGATTAACCTCCTGCCGCACTGATCCTCGTTCTCCTGACTCAGAGCCACAGTTCTCTCCGGTTTGTCACTCAAGTTTGAGTGTGAGTGGAACAAAAATCAGTTACTGGACTTCCACCTGGGATCCATCCATCTTCTTCTGCTTATCTAATTCATGGTCATGTGGGAGCTGAAGAATACCCCAGCTATAATAGGACTGGGGGGGTGGGGTCTGTTTTCTGATTTTTCCTCTTTATTGTCAAGCACATGAACAGTGGTGTTGTCCTGAATGATTTCATTGAGCTTTGGTTCCTGTGTTTCCCTCCCAGAACTTAGACCGGGTCTACTCGCTTTACCAGACCTTTCCAGAAGGCCAGACAGGAGATGGCGACAACCCCAAAAACCCATACGGCAGAGAGGTCAGCCTGCAGCCGGTGAGCCCCACCCACCTAAGCGTGTGTCAGCGTCTGCGTAAGGTCATCCAAGAGCTGGTCGACACTGAGAAGTCCTACGTCAAGGTCAGAATACAACAGCAACAGTAGTACTACTGTGGTACTACTGCTAGTACATCTGATTTGTTAATGGACGCGTTTTGACTCATTTTCAGCTCCATGTTTTTATTCTTTGTCTCTACAAGAGTAGCTTTGCATGATTCAGTTCAAAATAATCCTTCCTTATCTTATTCTGGTCCTTCAACCCTTTACCCTATCCTTTGTCTGAAACATGCTGTTTTAGCTCCTCCCACTTACGTCTAGATTTCTTCTGATTGGCTGCCCCTGATATTACCATTTTGGGGATTTCCCCTCTCTGTGACATCATACTAAACCAGGAGTAGAAAAAACTGTGTGAAACTCCAGTTTTTTTATCAGTTTATTTATAGAATAAAATAAAACAGAAACTATTTTTTATGTTAAAGTGATAAAGAAATCTATACTTATGATTTTACACACAATTTGTACAGTTTTAGTTTTAAATGGTTGTATAAAATGGGTCCCTTACAAATATTAAAAGAATCTGCTATATTAATATTTTTGTCTTAATTAGAGTTTATGCTTAAACATCTTTATATCTTCAAACCTGTGTGTTTAAAACTGCTGGAAAGATCTTACTATTTGATTAGAGCCGATAATTAAATTTGAAAAAAGAAATTAGACTTTGATTAATATCGGAACATTTTTTTTTGGTTCTGTTTCAGGATCTCGTCTGTCTGTTCGACATCTACCTGACCCCCCTGCAGAAGGAGACGTTCCTCAGTAAAGACGAGGTAAAAACGAGCCGACAGTAAATGACGGTTGTGAAGTGAAGGTTGTGGTTGTGACTCTGACCGCAGTGTGTCTCTCTGTCAGATGGAGGCGCTGTTCGGCAGTCTGCCAGAGATGTTGGACTTTCAGAGAGTTTTTCTCCAAACGCTGGAGGAGAGAATCGCCGCCTGTCCGAACTTCAGCAACCTGGAAACCCCCGAGCAGTTCAAGGTGAAGGTCCATCAGCTGGTTCAGACAGATTTTATTTCCTTCATTTATTTTTTTATTTTATTCTTTTTGTTTTAGTTGTGCATGCATGCAAGTTTTATTGTTTTATTTATTTAAGCTCCAGTGAGCTTATTTGGTGAGCTTATTTGGGCCCTGTGATGTTTTACTTTTATGCATTTTTTTTTCCAATTGTTAAAACTGATATATTTTTATTTACTCCATTTCGGGTCCATTATTATTATTGTTATTTTATTTTTTACTTTGTTTTTTTTATTTTTTTTTATTTTAGTTATTTTTTAATAATTTATTTAATTACATTTTATACATAGTATATATTTTTTGGGATATTTTGTCTTTTCACAGTTTATCTTCTTTTTATTTTTTTTGTACATTTTATTCATTTATTAACTCTATTTTATTTATTTTAAGCTGTTAACATATTTCTCCTTTTTAAATGTTTCAATATTTTAAATGCGGTTAAACAGAATTTCCATATTTTAATGAACAAAAGTTTTTATTCGCTTGTTCGATGGGTTTAGTTTCTTCACACCTCATTTGTGTTTCCATCAGAAACTCCTCTTCCCATTGGGTGGATCATTTCTGTACTATGCCGATCACTTCAAGCTTTACAGTGGCTTCTGTGCGAATCACATCAAAGTCCAGAAAGTTCTGGAAAGAGGTGAAAACACAGTCTGAGCACTTTAAACTCATTTAAGCAGCACTCCATTTAACCTTTAACCCTGACCACCTGTGACGCAGCCAAAACAGACGCAGCCTTCAAACAGTTCCTGGAGGCCAGAAATCCGACCAATCAGCACTCGTCTTCCCTGGAATCATACCTGATCAAACCTGTTCAGAGAGTCCTGAAGTATCCGCTGCTGCTCCGAGAGCTCGTGTCCTTGACAGATGCAGAAAGCCCCGAGCACACACACCTGACAGGTAACCCAAACATACACCTGACAGGTAACAGACCTCACAGTATTGTATTTAAACATGTTTTGTGACCAGCTGCACTTCCACTGTCATCCACTCAGAGGCGCTGCGAGCAATGGAAAAGGTGGCGAGTCACATCAACGAGATGCAGAAGATCTATGAGGATTACGGCTGCGTGTTTGACCAGCTGGCAGCAGAGCAGAGCGGAGCCGACAAACAGGTAAACACAATGACACACACACACACACTTGAGCGTCACCTGTGTGCATCACGTACCCTGAAGGGTTTTTTTTTCCTCCACCCTCAGGTGACGGAGATCTCGATGGGGGAGTTTCTGGTCCACTCGTCGGTGGTCTGGTTGAACCCACTGCCCTCTCTGGGTCGCTTGAGGAAGGAACCAGAGCTGACGCTGTTTGGTGGGTGAAGTCTTTTCTTCACACTTCTTTACTTGCACAGGTGATAACTGATGGAGAATAACACAAGTCTGTCTTTGTCCTCAGTGTTCAAACGAGCCGTCATCCTGGTTTACCGTGAGAACAGCAAACTGAAGAAGAAGATGGTGAGTGCATGTCTACTCTTCATCTCCTAGTTTGTATAACTGAACAGATTTGTATGTCTATTTATGCCAACGTAAACAAAAAAAATACAGTGACAAAAATTTTTTTACAAAGTGTTAAAAAAATGATATTAAAAATGCAAATTCCTTGGTCAAAAAGTAAGGGAAATCAAAATGTCTGAAAAATTAAAGTTTTGAGTGAACATTAGTCAAATCTGTCAATTAAAAAGTAAAACAATATGTGTTAAAGAATATTTTAAAATATCAAAATAATATCAAAATAATGATCATAACAAAGAATCCCATAAATGAAATCACTTAAAATTTCCTTTTCAACTATAATATTGTTGTTCTTTTCATTTTTTAATAAAGTAAAACCAAGCATATGGGAGATAACATCACATTTAAATAAATCTAAACACTGTGAGGTTTTAAAAGAAAGATGGAGGCCAAAAATGTCTAGTTTTTAAGTCAAATATCAATAAAAATCAATTTGGCTTAATCTGTTTTTTCCTGTATTGGCAGTAATGGGCTTCCATACAACTGCTGGTTTCTATTAATTCCTTTAAAGATCATCTCACAAAAACTTTAACCTGGTTCTGGAGAGATGATCTGCTTCTTTGTCTTTACAAATGTAATCCTTGTCCTTGATTGGCTCCTCAGCTGTAAACACATCAACATGATGTCACTGAATAAAAGAAAAAAACACCTCCACCTGTTCTTGTTGTCAGTTTTTATGGGTTTTTTTCTCACAGACCTCGCCCCGATCAGCTGACCTTGACCCCTTCAGATTCCGCTGGTTAATCCCAGTTTCAGCGGTCCAGGTCAGACCGGCTAACATCACAGGTGAGTGACCAATCAGAGTGAGGTTTGTTACTGCTGGTGCAGCAGCTCTCCAGCAGGAGGCGCTGTGATGGTCTGAGCTCACTGTGCTGTGTGTGTAGGTTCTGAGGACCCATGTGTGTGGGAGCTGGTTCACAGTCGGTCTGAAGTGGAGGGACGACCAGAGACGGTGTTCCAGCTGTGCAGCAGGTACGGACAGCCAATCAAGTTCCTGTGGTGGTTCTCCGTCACAATGGATTTTCTCGACTCTGTGCATGATGATGTTAAGCTTCAGCTCTGTGTTTGTATTTCAGCGGTTTGGAGACAAAGGCCAGCGTGCTACGAGCCCTGCGCTTGCTCCTCAGAGACCGAGCTCCTGTGGGATCCCTGAGGAGGAGCAGGCTGTCTACGGCTGAGAGAAGCGCCTCCTGGAGGAGGAGGCAGCAGCGCCGCTCTGACACCCAGAAGACAATTCCTCACCAGCTGCAGGAGAGCTGCAGGTCTGACGGCGTCCTGGGCGACACGTGCTCAGAGCCTCTGCTGCCGAGCCACGCCTCCAGCTCCAGTGCCGCTGCAGGGATGAGAGGCAGACTCTGCTCCCTGACTAGTGAGCTGGAGGCCCAGCTACAGAGGCTCAACTTCAGAGAGGAGGAGGTGGAGCAAAGAGGGACATCTATAAGTGAGGAGGAGAAAAATAAGCGGAGCTCTAGCTTACGGCGAAGTCCTGGAGATCTGCAGGACCTCAGCAACCTGCTGGAGAGAGACTTCAGCGTTCAGAGCATGACCTCCATGATCAACGAAGACTGCTTCTATGACCCCCTGCTGGGGTTACAGACGACCGCCGCCATGCCCGCAGTGTAGGGACAAAGCTAACATGCTAACACAAGGAGGATGGTCATAATGCGGGGAGTCTAAATAAATCCAGATGATTGAGCTGGAAGCTTATCACACCTGCTCCGCAGAACTGAACATGGAGGTCCACGCTGACCTACGCTACAAGAGGAAGTCATATCAGCCAATCTGGGATTTTTTTTACTGATCTCTCTGATTCAGCATTAAAAGCTCACCAGTGATTTAATGGTAACAAAAATAAACAGCAGTCGAACGTCACCGGAAAGTGAGAGAAAAGAGTCTGACAAAGTCCAAGAAAAATGTAAATTTAAAGAAAACGTGTGTCACTGTGAAACATCAGTTTATGCAAGTTCTTAAATTCCTAAAATTCATTTTTAATTTATGATTTTTTTTTTGTTTGTTTTTAGTCTGGAAAAGAAATTTGATTTGTTTGTATTTAAAAATAAGATTTTATTCTCATAAAATTACAGGTTGATCTCTCAGAAATGTGACCTCTTTCCACAAAAGTGCACCTTTATTTTTTAAATATCAATATCATTACCTGTTAACCTTTAAAATTACCGTTATTTATGCAAAAAAAAAACATTTGGCAAGCAATTTTTAGTTTTTTCATTTCAATTTTTTTTAGTGTTTTTTTTTCTTTCTGATTTTTTTTTTTAATTTTACGTTTTCTTTACATAAATTACTTCAGCTTTAAAACGATAAGTTTATGGTGCCGTCACAGTAAAACTTTATTCCATCAACATCTTTAAATGTAACTTTCTCTAAAAACAATTTTATCATCAAACTACATGAAATTCAGCCTGAAAAGTGTCTTTTTCTTTACACGAGTTTATAATAATTTGTCTTTTAAAATGTAAATTTATACCAAATCTTTCAACTTTATTCGCAATCTTTTTTCTCTCACAGAGGCTCTGATGTGAAACTGTAGACCCATCTCAGGCATCTCGCTAACACAGCTCACAAACCTCAAAGAACAAACAGAATCATTTGTCTCAGAGACAAACTACAGACCTCACAAAAATTTCCAGAAACTGGAGTGTTCTTTTTAAAAATTCCTCGAGAGAACATGGTGTTCAGTTCTTTTCACTTAACCAAGCATCTCTTTGAAGGGTCCAACCAGCTCAGTTTCATCTTGTTTGCTGATGGACCGAACCGAATGTTGGACTTGCTGCCTGAACTCGGCGACAGCTGTCAAACTCTTGTGTTGTAAATATTCTTGTGTGCAGCACTCATTTTGAAGTTTTCTGTCTAACAGAGAAACTTTCTTGACAAAAGCCGTTTCTGGAAAAATCTGGAGCTGCTGGATCAAAGCTTTCAGTCGAGTTTTTATATTTATATATTTGTAATGTTTTGTTGACCAAGCACTAGAGAGACACCAGTGTTTTTATTTTATATTTGTGTTTTATATTTTCTAAAATGTTAAAGTATTTGGTAATTTATTTTCTTAAATATTTGTTCAAGGCAAATAAATGAAAAAAATATTTAATTAAAGATTTTTGACCTGAAATGCTCCTCCTATTGCTGTTTATTCAGTCTCTGAACAGAAAACTTCAAGGCCTAGTGACCAGCTGAAACCTGGCTGAAGTCGTGTTTCTTTCATAAACATTATCATTTCCTGTGATGATACTCAGATTTCCTCCTTTCACTCATTTCAGTCTGACTTCACCTTCAGGGGAACAGGACGCTCAGCTCACTTTTGGATCGATAAATTAAAATTTAAAAAGCAGTGAAGGTAAAAACTGAGTGTGTGTGTATGGTGTGGGTTGTCTCTTCAGCTCTTGTTGCCAGAGTAACCGCTGTAGAGAGGAGGAAGAAAAGCCTTTAAAGCATATTCATTTATCAGCACAGCTCTCAAAGAAACACAAAATTGGCATATTTATCTTAAATTTACAGGTTTTTAAAAACTCTGCATCTATTTGGAGACTGAACATCTCAGCTTGTCTCACCAAATGACATCATTTCAGACCTTTGAAGGCTTTAAACACTCATCGCTCAGTTCACCTGTTAATGGTCACTGAGGAGCTGAAAGCTGGTCATGTGAGGTGTGTGTGCCTAGGTAAACTTCTAACGTGTTTATTCACAGGTCATATGTCAATCAACAGTGTTTTTCACTCTTATTGGACGTCTCTTGAGTCGCTCCCCATAAAGTTCATCACTAGCTGGGTATCGACTATCTAAGAGGGAGATAAGTTGTAGTGGTGGTGGCATTCTGTTTCAGTCCAACACTTGAAATCAGAGAGCTCTTTAAAACAACCTGTTTATTGAGAAATATAGTGTGATAAATATATATATGCACAACTTTGTAGTATCTAGAGTAAAAGCAGTCCTACCAGTAAAAGAGGAGAGACTGTGCAGCTGAACGCACGCAGCGCTCCCTGTCCTTTGTATGAACTCTTGTATTTATCATATAATCCTATGATTGTTATTATTTTTTTATCAGTAATATAAAAAAATCCTCCAGCACAGTTACTGTCATGTCAGGCAAAGAACATTGGCAGGAACATTTAGACCTGATGTTTCCATCTGCAGCACAGAGACAGAGTCAGGCTTCTGTTAATTACATTTAAGACTTTTAATCCCGACTGAGGAACCTCTGAAGACCTGCAGAGACCCCGAAAGAGCCAGGGGCTTGATGAAGCCCCGGAGTTTTTAACTTCACTCTCTGCTTTCATAGTCAGTGTGAGCGGCAGGACATTTAAACACACATATACAGGACAGGAACTCACAGGGTTTTAGCTTAAACTCTCACCATCCATTCGGAAAGCTTGAACACTTCGATGTCAGAAGCTGCAAGAAACTGCTGCTGGTGGGAGGGCTCTGTATTTGTTCCCTTGAATTTGAGACATTTTTACATACAGCTCTGTGTTAGTCCTGAGTGTAGTGTTCCCTAGTACCTCTGAGCTTTTTATATTTCTATTCCTTGGATCTTGTTTGATTCCCTTTTCGTGTCCAGCCTGTCCCAGTCTCATCTCCGTGCTTTGTTACCCTTTTCGTCTCCCCAGTTTTGTCCCCGTGTCGTTCTGGTCTCTGTGTTTTTGTGGTTTTCCTGTCTTGGCTATGTCTTTAGTCCTGGTATTCATCTCTTTCCTGCGATCGTCACTCTGTGTTTCATCCTTTTATGCCCTTCTAGGTACATCGTGTTCAACTGTGCTCCCAGGGGTGTCTACTCTGTCCTAATGTTCTCATATCTATATACTTTCTCCATCTATATACATCTCCTGCATCTGGTCTTTGTTGTGTCCTCTGTCAGTGTATTTTCTCAGTGACTGTTTTTGCTTTTGTTTTCTTCACCTTTCTGCATAAAAAATAAATCTGTGATTTTCTGTCTGTGAATCCTGCATCAGTTTCACTTGCCCCGTATCTTTGCATTCAGGGGTTAAAATAGCCTTCACAATAACTACAGTTATGTGCAGAGTAATCTCTAGTGAGATGAGGTTGAGACGTTTTATTGATTGAATCAATAAGAGGAGGTAGGAGGAGGTCGGGGTGGATGAAGGGTTTACAGCCATCGTGCACCATGTTTGCTGAACTGGAAAAGAGATGCCAGAAAAAGAAAAGAACCAGAAAACATTTTCATAATGCTTCAGACAGTTTAACCATCAAGATATTAATTATTGACCCAGAAAATCTTCAAATCTTGTGAGCCAAAAAATCTACATCAGCCTTATAATTTCTGCTTATTTAAGCTATCTGTCTTTGACTTAAATGTTTAACTTCCTGTAATACCATTAATTTTGCTTTGGGATAAATATTTACTGATATTTCACCAACAACACAGAACTACTGTGACATGGAAGAAAAAACATCTATTAGCATGTTTAGGCTGACTTTAAAGCAGAGCATTTCTAATTAAACTGAAATGAAGCTAGCTTAATAATTTTTTAAAAAATCATGATGAAGGTCAGTGTAACACACACACACACACAGAGAGAGAGAGAGAGAGAGAGAGAGTCGTGTTTTTATATCCTTGTCAGGACATCTAATTGAAATAATAATAATAATAATAATAATAACTTTATTTATAAAGTGCTTTCAAATAAAGTGCTGGACAGCTATCCTACGATAAATAAGACAAATAAATAAAACTACAGTTAAAAACTGAAAAAACAAAAGAGAATAACAATTAAAAGTTTAGCCATATTATTAAGTCACGAAATAATGCTTTCCCCAGCCGCTAACTAACCATAAAAAATGAATGCTTAACCCTAACCCTCAGCCTAAACCTGACCATAACCTGACTGTAACCTTGACATTAAACCACATTTTGAGTGTTAAATATGCCTTCAGGATTTTGGTCCCCATAAGGTCTGTTGGTTCCCACAAGTACAGTAAACTTCTAATTTTTGGTCTCCACAAAGATATTAATACACGTACACACTCACACACGCTCACACACACTCTCAGGCTGTGTGTGTTGAGCATAGATAAAGCACTTCATTTATATCCCCCTCTGGTTGCTGACTGATGGCTGATGGAGCCTGGAAGGGGGGGGTTGTTTCTGCCAGATGGTTTGATTCAGCTCCAAACTATTATCACTGTGACTGAGGGTTCAAAGGTCAAACTGTCTACTTTAATGTGAAGCTAATTTCAGCTGTGTTGGGTGAAAGAATGAGGAATTGCGCGGCTCTGTGGATACTGAGGGGGAGTCAGAGGAAATCCTTCCACTCTTCTTCATTCTTCCTCCTCATCGAGTCAGCTCACATCAGCAGAGTGTGAAGCAAAGATATCCACCCACACTGCTGAGCTCACACAGATTTATCACGTTTCTCCATCAGAGAAACAAACCACTGAGAAATCAGAAAGATGTTCCTGAATGAAAACGGATCATTTATTTATTTAGATTCATTCCCAAGTGATTACTGGCAACATTTTTATTTAGGCTGCTTTATGCCATGAATACACACTGATTCAGTGTGTGTTTTCATACAGAAACCAGTACATTAATTTTAAAAATATAACACAAGTAATTTACAAAATGTAAATTACAGGTGCATGAAAAGAAAAATCAATTAAATTTTATATAAAGTCAGTGACCACCCAGGTCGCCACAGTCTTGTCTCATCACAGAGGCCTCTTTGGTTCTAAAAGCAGCGTGGATTCCCAGGTGTTTCACCCCCGATGAAACATGACATCCCCACAGAGGTGGTCCTGAAGATCGTTGACCCACGAATCATCACAAGGTGTGAAAATTTTAACAATAACCTTGATTATGATAAATGCAAACAGATTTTTTTAAAGTTAAACAAGCAACTGTAAAACCAAATTTAAACTCTCCCCATCCAAACAAGTCATAGAGACAAAATGATCTTTAACCTCCTAAGACCCAAACTCTTCCACGACATGCATTTTTAATTTCTCTTTATATTTGGGCATATTGGGGCCCGATGAATGTAAAAAGAAAGAATTACCAGATTTTTTTTTTTTTTACCTTATTTTTGTTTTTAAGAAAAATAAGAGCCACATATGAGGATATTCGTTTCGATATTCGTATTTGATAGAACAGTGGCAGTGTAATGTCCTCGTAAGTGGATATCAGGCCCATGTAGAGCAAAATTGAGTATTTTGGTCTAAATAACCCAAAATGTGATGTCCACATATGTGGACGCCAGGTCCTAGGAGGTTAAATAAAATAAAGTAAAATAAAAATAATTTAAAATAACAAAAATGCTTCTTTTTAATTAAAACAAAAGAATTTATAAAAAGCTGCACAAAGAAAAAAATATATAAATAAAATGATCAAATGTGAGAATTACTAAATGTAAAACACAAAAGATAAAAATAAAATTAATTTCTTTATTTTTGTCTTTAAACAAGTAGAAAAGACAGAAAACAAAGCTGCTCGCCAGTAATCAGACTTCCTGAAAAACAGCGGAAAAACACAGCATTAAAAGAAAAACCTTAAAGGACAGAAAAGCAGCTTCTCAGTTTGTCCTCTGCAGCGTTCAGACATTCAGGCCTGCGGGCGGCCACTCAACCCTCCAGAGACCCGCCTCTAATAGCCCGCCGCCTGGTTTCACATCGCTGAGCAACATGGCAAGCGGCTGGATGTTAAAACAGGCTGTTCAGGATGTGCACAAACACAGAACAAGAGACCCAAACACTGCAGGAGGCTCGAAACACTTGATGTAAAGGAGCAGAACACTCCGAGGATCAAACAGCTCAAATAAATGATCAAGAAAACACCAAACAGCTTCTATAATATGAGGATGTACATGTAACGGGACAAAATGAAAGACACAAACATGGCCTCTCACAATTATCTGAACATTTATAGATCAGTCAGAGATCTGGGACGACACGCACAGACGTTCATTAATAAACTGGACTGTTGGGAAATCTGGCGGTGCATTCAAGGACACTCCCACATCTAAAATTTAATGTCATAAAATGCAGGAAATAACCAAATCTTTACCGACAACAGCCCATAG